CAAAACGGCACAGGAAACTCGTCTAACCGACAAATCGTGAAGGCATACGAGGCCCTGGCGTCGAGATCTGGACAGATCGGCACGTGCTCTTATTCACACATAAACACACACTCACACACCCACACACAAGCGAAGGTCACACTGAATGTGACTGAATGGGAGAAGGTCGTGCACGAGAGGCAGCAATGCCCGAGGTGTGTCTATCAGAAGCACAGCTTCTGCAAAGTTTGGAATCCCCCCTCGACCCAGTCATCCACGAAGGGAATTGATGCAAGTGTTGCGTTTCCAAGCGTTTGTCCAAATTGTCTCTTGGCATCAGCGCCTCCTGACGCCATCGCGATCAGTTGACATGGCAACTGGGATGCCCTTTTCAAGGTTTGTCCGAAGCCGATTCCGAGCCTCGTCCGTACAATCGGTCGTGACGATTACAGGTTCAAAGCCTCTCTCCAGCGATCCGGCGGGACTCGAGCATTTTGCCACCGCAACACATGCCCTAACAACTTGTCGCTTTTTGCACCGGTTGCGGCCCATCTACACCCGGTCTCGTCTGCTCGCCGTGCCCCTAAATCGCCCACATTTCAACTGTCCAACATCGCATGCAACACCCAAACTGTCCACCGGCTCTTCGGCTCTTTTGCATGTAATCGGGTCGGTCAACGCCGGCGTTGATGTCACATTCTCTTCTCGTCAGGCCGGCTTGAAGTGGGTGTAAAGAAAAATGACTAAACCTGTTGGAGGATGAAGAGGCGACGGCCGAGGCAAAGACAATGAACGCGTCACTTCACGCTTCGCTTCTGTGCGCATGAACAAAAGACAAATGAGTTGACCCGCCCACCCAGCTGAACAGCGGCCGTGAATGGACGTAAAGTCGGGCAATACCGGAGAGCCGGAGGAAAATGAGAAAGAAGAAGAAGCAGAAAACACACTGGCCCGACTGTGAAAATTGCGAGCTTGCGTTGGGCAAGTGCAAAAGTTTGCCACCCAAACGCATGGAATGGGGAGTAGAGTGGTGCCTGCGGTACCGTTGTCAACCTCTTGTTGCACTGTCACACACGTCACATTTCAACTCGCCTGCACATGCACATCTGACCTCTGTCCGGTCAGGTCGCACCGCCGACCCCGCCGTGGGGGGGGGCTGAACTCAGAGCTGTTGTCGCGTCTTTTGGAGTAAAAAACTGACAACACACCTGACCGCAGATGAAGATGCACCTGGTCATTTACGTAACTGTGTTGAGACGGTGGGACGAGGTATGATAAACCCTGACGGAGCTGAGGGAGGACGATTGGGCAAACGGATTAGTGGACGGATTAAGGCCTGCCGGTCAACCCAGAACTGGCAGGCAACTGAGAAACGGTGTTGTTGTGTATTGGCGAGCCATTTTAACCAGAATGATGCAATAAGGCCAGATGATGGTGGTACGAGTCTGGTGGGAGAAATTTGACAATTTTAATAAGTATTTAATCCCTTTCGAAATTGGCATAAGGTGATGAAGGAATGGTAGTTGCATTTGCAAAAAATCAACCGAATTGTCCGGAACGTCAAGAACGCTAAAAGCATCAAAGTTCTTGTCGAGGAACTAATGAGTATTTTGAAAGCTGATCATTTCTGAGATGTAGATCAAATTTCGTTATAAGGTAACTTTGGGTACCTTCCAGATACATTGTGTTAATGCAATTTCGTTTAAGGTGATGAAGGATTGGTAGAAGAAGAATTTTCCCACAATGATATGAGTTGAGCTGACGTTTCCATTGAATTTTCACATAGACTTACTTTCCCAAAAGTGGACTGCAGTTTCGACATCGCATCGGTTCGACTCCCGCTGAGGGTGTTGATAAGACCGATGCGAGGTAGAAACTGCAGTCCACTTTTGGGAAAGTAAGTCTATGTGAAAATTCAATGGAAACGTCAGTTCAACTCATATCATTGTGGGTAAATTCTTCTTCTACCAGTCCTTCATCACCTTAAACGAAATTGCGTGAATACATCTCACATTACTGATTTACTGGTAGTCACGACAACAATACTTAATTCGAGAAATAATACAATTTCGTTAGAGTGGATAAAAAAGCAATTTTTGCTCCATATACCACAAACATCTTCAATATTATGAAAATATCGCAATTGCGATCTTCGTCATACCGGGATTTGATCTGTATTAATAGTATGTTACCACGACAACCGTTGGAGTATACCCAATTTACAATTCCAAGTATATAGGAAAACTTGTATCTATTGTACATGTGATGAATGGGCTTAGAAACCACCAGCAGTTCGTAAACCATTCAAGTGGGATTCGGATCATGGATATGCGGGTTACGAGTAAAAAGCGTCACTGACTAGACACACAACCCCGAGTCCGTTGACTTGCAGAAAAAGTATTATTTTCAAGAACCAGCCAGTGACAGAGATCTAATGTACCAAAAGGACGTAGGAATGTTAAAAAAAAGA